CTTCCGCCGCCGCCGCCACCACCGCCGCCGCCGCGCCAAGGTACTATGTTTAAAACTATAAAATATAGGGCCACCAGATGGCATGGTGTTTAAGGCACTGGGTTCCCACAGGGTCCGGTCTGAGTCCCAGATATGGTGGCCTTTTTTATTCCTGTCTCTGGTGAGCGCATGTGCTCTGTAACAAATTTTTAAAAATTATAACGATGATAAATAAAATTAAATAATTATTTTAAAATATGAAAAACTATTTTATGTAGAAAATAAAGAGCTTCTGTAACAAATTAGAATCTTCTCTGGAAACTATGGAATGAGGTAATATGAAAAAGTCAAGAGTTTCTGTTTACCTACTTTCTGGATTACATCAAAGGAACTAATAAAGACCTACAAGTGAACCTGCTACGCCCTACCAGGGACCATTCTCAGATGAACCCTCAAATGAGAAAACATTACACAAAGTCAGAATTATAAAATACTATATACTTACCCCTCTCATATCCGATATATTCAGTTTCATTGTATGAAACATGCTGAGTGTAGCCTTTCCGATGATTTTTGCACTATCTGTTGCCTGGTCAAGAGTCACAGTCCTATAAGTGATACAATTTCATTTTTAAAGAAATGAAAGCTACCACCCAGTATTCACTAGTACTGCACCTGGAGAGATAAGGTATAACTAGGGCCAGTATATGTCCTGGTGGTTAAGGAGTTGGATCCCACATGGCTGACAGCACAGTTCAAGTCTCAGACCTGCGACTTCAGAAAGGTGATGAGCACATGTGCATCCTAAGTCCCAAAAGGGAGTGGAGGAATAGAGACTGTGGCATAACCATTCCCTACGAGGGGTGCCTTCTCCTCATCCCTTTCTCTCTCTCTCTCTGGTGAGTACCTGTGCTCTCTGGCAAATTTAAAGAAAAGAAAAAAAGGAATAAAGAATTTATGAAAGATAGTTTCCCTCGAAGAGTCAGGAATACCAAGTTAATTACACTGGCAACAAGAGGATAATGATTGATACATAGAGCATTGGGACTTTTAAAGTGAAAATGCTAATGGAGACCTGGGTCAACTAAAAATATGTTGAGAAATTTACAGAAAGAGAAATTTTAGTTAACACATAAACAACTACATATATATAATGCACAAATGAATGGTAAGCACAGTAACTCAGATTCCAAGAGAAGTTTAGATGCCAAGATTACGTTGAGGTACAATTAGTATTTAGCTGAGAAAGATGAAATCTACATTTTTTTTTTGGGGGGGGGTTTGCTATAGGGTACATGTGCTTGCCAGAAAGAGACAGACAGAGAAAGCAAGCGAGAAATCACCCCCCAAGGGAGATGGGCCTGCTGCAAACCCTTCTCCTCCATTCTCCTCTTGGGATATTGGGCACGCATGCATACGTGCCCGGCGTGAGTTTAAGCCACCGGGTCCAGGACACAACCCGCGGTCGACTACGTGGGAGTCCAGCGACATAGCCATTATGCTAACTGCTGGTCCCTCCAATTTGTTTCTTGACTCTGCTTTCATTATGTTTAAAGTAAAGCCACTGAATAATTTCAACATTGAATATTCTCTTCTTTCATTTTAATTCTACTTCTCTAAGGAGTGTATAGTTGGAGAAACAAATATGTGGACAGTTATGACCAAGGAAATAGGCTGATATCCTGTCTAAAACCCTGAAAGACTAGAATTTACAATTCTCAGATCTTTATGAACTCTTGATCAAGGACTAGAGTATACCCTAGCATTAAAGTGTCAAATATGTGCTGAACTCATCCATAACTTCCTTCAGAGCCATTCAGAATTAACTGGAACAAGCAGGGTATCCCCTGCAAAAAGAGAATTACTAATTCAATAACAGATGAACCAGTTTTCTTTCCAAAGGAAAATTAATTTTTTGTAAGACTTTCCAGTCTTGAAAAAATAAAGTCCTAGATCTTAACACAGACTCTATGGTGGCATGGTGGTTAAGGCTCTGGACTCCCATATGGTTTGACCATGGTCTGAGTTCTGGACCCAGGGGCTTAAAAATCAAACTGGGTACACGTGTGCCCAAAATCCTGAGAGGAGAAGAGACTGAAGCATGGTCATCACCCCAGGGAGGAGAGAGGTTCTCATGTTCTCTCTCTGGAGAGCACATGCTCCCTATAGCAAAAAAATAATCAATCTTGATTTGAGATAAATGGGAAATGAAGAACAAAAACAAACACAAAACAAAACAGATGGTACTCAGAAAAATATTTTAAGCTGGATCTAATTTTTCCAGAGACTATTTTCAGAAAGAATAATTCCATTCCTAAGTAAGGACCTATGAACCATAGAAATGACCATTCAGACTATATTTATTAACCACTTGAAAAACATGTATAACATAACACCTATTAAAGTAGGTAAAAGTTAAAGATAGCCAATTGCTAAAAATATTTTGTAAATTATGTTGGTTGACGTTTAATTCCTGTTTTCACAGTGAATAAAAACATTAGTGATAAATGTGAGAGGTGGTGCTTGAGTGTAGTCCTCTCATGACTTACCAATATCATCACATGGTTGGCATGATCTAGACTTCAATTAAATTATATGTTACAGTTCCTTACATGTGCCTTTCAATGCTGAGTCTTAAAATCTGGTTGGAGAGATGTAACAATGTGCTGTGTAGTATTATAAAATGGGATACAAAACTAAGTATTTTAACATTGGTTACCAATCTCACGTAAGCTTACTACTGACTGATCTGCATATAAAAAAAGTTTTACCATGTTTTCTTCAAATTTTCAGAGACTATAATTATTACTATTCTCACAAATTACACCTACATAAGGGAAGGTGATGTTGCATTCGAATCATATTCCGCAGTACTATATTGAAATTTCCCTCAGGGAAAGTTTCCCTGAGCCCAGATATGGCAACAGCCCCTCCCCCAACCCTGTGTACATGTGCTGAAGTCAACAGCCTCAGGACTCCAAGCAAAGGTCAGGACCCCGACAGGCCAGCCTCCACAAGCATGTGTCTGGTTGAACTCACATGCATTAACCTAAGTTAAATGGCACTGGGCCAAGGCCTGGCTCTACAGAATTGTTATGTAACCAACATGTCCTAAGTCCTTCACTCAAATTCTTCTTAGCTTTCATCATTTTCTGTTAATTGAAATAACCAGTACTTAAATGCAAATACAAGTTATTCTTCAAGATAATCATACCTGGCAATGTTATCACAAATTCCATGACCTCCAAATTTAGCAGTTTCCACCGGAGCTCCTGGCTTTCGGACCATGATTTTGAGAGTCAGACGTTTACCCTTCACACCAGCAGCTTCAAGTCGTCTTTGAATTTCTTCTGAAAGACTCAGAAGAAAGGCTTCTGCCTCTTTTGGCTATGAAAAGACAAACAGGGAAAAACTACCATGTTATCTCATCATATGCAGTTGTGGACTGTACATTTCAGTCAACGACAGACATTCGTGACAGTGGTCTCACAAGATGGTAACAGGATATACTACACAGCCTAGATCTGTAGTAGGTTCTATGACCTAGCTTTGTGAAAGTACATTCTGTGATTTTCACACAATGGTGAAACCACCTCACGATCTGTTGCTAAGAATATTTCCTCGTTGTTAAGTGATGTCTGACTGTACTTAACAATTTTCTCAAGTATTTTTGTGGTATGTGTGTTTGCCAGAGAGAAGGGGGAGAAAAGAGAAAAAACACCCCCATGGGGGGTGGCCAATATGCAATCCCTTCTCCTTCGTCTCTTCTTTTGGGATTTTGGGCATGTGTGCATACACACCCAGTATGTCTTTCAATCCACTGGGCCCAAGACTGGAACCTGCATTTGACCATGTAGGACCCAGCTGCCTTAACCAGCATGCGAACTGGCTGGCCCTGAAGTATTTTAACTTAATATTATGGCGATTATTTACTATCCTGATAAGCATCTATCAAAACTAAATATTCTGTATAACTTAAGTATGAATTCAAAAACATACCTATATTCTTTTTTTTTTTTAATTAGTTTTTGTCATAAGGTTTGGGTATTTGCTGGAGAGAGACAGAGACAGGGAAAGTGAGAAATCATGCCCCCCTGGGAGATGACCACACCACAACCCATTCTCCTCCATTCTCATCTCTGGATTTTGGACATGCATGCACATTTGTCCAGTGTGATTTTCAAGTAACAGGGTCCAGGACTCGAACCATGGTTTGGACATGTGGGAATCCAGCTCCTTAACCACGATGACACCTATTGGTCCAAAATACTCATATTCTTAACAAAGTGAAAGTAATGAATACCTGTAAAGGATTTCTCCTTACTGGCTTTTCTAAACCATCACTGACGTGTTAAAATTTATCTGCATTTATGTTATTGGTAAGTTAAATTCTATGATTAAAATATGCTCTCCAACACTTGTGCTCTGTATTCCTATGTGTGCCCAAGCATCACCTCCATTCATAAGCAAAAATGCATTACTGAGCTCCAAAGAGTAGGCATGACAGGGAAATTAACTCATCAAATTTCAAATTCTTATGATACAGTGTTGTTTACTGATACAAATTCAAGACATATCTAGATTCAAATACATGTTCGGAAGAAAAATGGAAACTATTCAATCATCTGTGTCACTTTTGTAAAGTATGAATAATGAAAAGTTAGTTGAAACTTAATTTTTATGATTTACATTTTTTCTTCATTCACGATAGAACATGTGTGAGAGAGAGAGAGATAGATGAGCATATTCCACAGGGTCTGGTCATGCCACAGTTACCTTCCCACAGCCCACCATCCTGTTAATCTCAGGCATTTGTACACATTTGGCATGTTTCAGGTCAATCAGGCAGGGACTTGAACTGTGGGATCTCGCTTCTTTTCAACAGAGCATTACAACACTGTGCCATGGAGCTGGCCTGAAACTTACTTTCTAACTACAGTTTTAAAAATATTTCAAGGGCCAGGTGGTGGTATAGGAGGATCACCACTGGACCCACATGGGAAGGGTCCTAGGTTCATGTCCTGGGATACCCCTAAACATGTGTGCCTATGATCCAGGTCACCTGAGACAGTAAATAATGGCATGTGGACCCTATGGGGGTGGGGTGGGGGGGTGTCTGTCTCTCTCAAGAAAGAAAAAAACTTAAAAAAAAAAAAAAAAAAAAAGGCGCATTTTAGGGCCAGCCAGCCAGTCACCTTGTTGGTCAAGGTGCTGGATCACACATGGTCGAGTGCATGGATTAAGTCCTAGCCCTGGCATCCTGGCAAATAAGCTGCACATGTGTACATGTATGCCCAAAATCCCAGGAGGAAAATGGAAAAGAAGGGACTGTGGTGTGGTCATCCCCACTATGGGATGATTTCTCATTTTCCCTTTTTCTCTTTATGTATCTCTCTGGTAAGCACAGATGCCCTATAGCCAAGTTTTAAAAAAAGAAAGAAAAAAAGCATTTCAATACTAAAAACATCTTTCTGATATTTTTCCTTCACTGAAAATTAGAATAATGGCAATCTCAAATAAACTCAAATTATTTAAGAGTTGACCTCTCAAAAGCACAATCTTTTAGTATCTTTCACCAAGATGTAGGCTCGCTTAATTTTATCTGGGGCTATATCTTACAAAAGACTTTCTGGGAGCTCTGGGAATACCTACAGTTTTACTACTTACTATATTAAGTATCAAATGCTTTA